GGTACCTCATTGGTCTGTAGAGCTGTAGTTTCTCTTTCATTTCCAGTGCCCAGACTTTCCTTTCTCTAGCTAGGAGTCGAAAATACCTTGAAGTTCTGGTTTGGTGAGTTAATTCTCCGTGATTTACAACTTTCCTGTGTCTGACCGTGGGATGAGCAATTTTAGGGGGAAGAGTATGGAGGACTTTGGAAGGAAAACACTGATTTTACTTGTATGAGTTCCTTGTCTTCAAAGGGAACCGAGGGGGAGGGGCTGGCGACCTCTGGCTAAAAATGCAGATGGAGGAGAATAAGGGAGGGGCTGCCTGGAGAAAGCGCTGATTTGGAGGTGGCTTTCATCCAGACCCAGTCCCCTCCTGCCATTTCATAATCTGTAAATTTGAGTTGTAGTTTGTCAAAGAGATCCAGAGGTCTGTTAGCTAAGTCAGAGCCTCTGCTCTTTATAGCGGTTTGTGTGACAATATGGTGTTTCCGCATATCTAGGGCAGTGTTTCTCAACCTATGGGTTGTGATCCCTTTGGGATTTGAATGACCCTTTCACAAGGGTGGCAAATCAGATATTCTGCATATCAGTTATTTGCATTATGATTCATAACAGCAGCAATGAAAATAATTTTATGGTTGGAGGTCGTTAGAAAGGTTGAGAATCTCTGCTCTATGGACTCTTGCAGCTTCTCTGGGTGTTTAGAACTACAGGTTCTGTGAGCCTGTTTGTCCCTAACCCTGTTTGATAGCTCCAAGCAAAGAAATGACAGTCATTTCCTTCTCCTTCACCAGTTACCTCAAAACTAAAGTGCAGCTCAGCCCAGCTTGAGATTCCAGCTACACAGGAGGAAGGAGGATCATAAGTTAATGTCCATTATGAGTAGCTCAATAAAACTCAGTCATAAAGCATTTTTTATCATGTTAATGATTTAGCTCAGTGGTAGGTTTTCAAGCCTTGGGTTCAATTCTAAGGTGCGAGGGAAAGCGGGAGAACGCCAGAGTCACACATCAGAACAAAATCCGAGAAGTGACAGCTTTTCTAAGCTTTCTTTAATTTAAAAAAAAAATCTATTCATTATTTATATGGTATTATGCCTGCATGTGTCCCTATACACCAGAAGAGGGTACCAGATAGATGATTATGAACCACCATGTGGTTGCTTAGAATTGAACTCAGGACCTTTAGGAAGAACAGACAGTGCTCTTAACTTTTGAGCTATCTCTCCAGACACTTCCTAGGTTGCATGTTATAACATATGAATATGTTATACCTTTTGTGTTGCCCAGGCTGGTCTCTAGCTCCCTTCCCCCACACTAGAGTGGCAGGTTCAACCACTGCTGCTGCTCTTTTCTACCTTTAAATAAAGTTAGATTCCTGATTGGTGTGAAAACATCTAATGATAAAAGAGCTGGGAGAAACCTGTGTGATCAGGATTATCATGGCTTTACCCAAGCTAGTCTAGGCACCCAAAAACATCAACAAACCTTCCTGTGTCAATGTTGATTTTTGTGGGTTTTCACCTTCCCGTCTATTTCCTCTTGCTCCTGTTCATAAGTCAGTGGTAGGCGATGGTCCTGAACTAATAAAGTGTGCCTTGAATATTTTTTCCTGTAATATTTTTGGAAGAGTTTAAGAAGGATTGAAACTAAGGTATTGAAAGTATAGTAGATTCTGTGTTGGGAAGTTAGTATTATTATTTTGAATCCTCTTTATTTTCACTGATCTGTTCCAGCTTTTGATTTAATCCTAGGTTGTTTTGCTAAATTGCATTAGCATGACATTTATATTTCCTCTATAAAGTTATATAATGAGTTGGTTATAGTTGTTCATAATAGTCTCTAATGACTGCTTTTTTTTTTTTTTTTTTTTTTTTTTTTTCTTGAGACAGGGCTTCTCTGTGTAGCCTTGACTGTCCTGGACTTGTTTTGTGGACCAGGCTGGCCTCAAGCTCACAGAGATCTGCCTGCCTCTAACTCCCCAGTGCTGAGATTACAAGCATGGGCCCATCTTATTTCTTTCATTTTAGAAGTTAATGTGGCTGTGGATCTGTTGTTTTTCTTTACTTCTTTACATGTTGTTTTGAAAACAAGAACTCAGAGCAGCTTGGCAATGTCACATGCCTTAACTCCATACTCAGAAGGCTGAGACAAGAGGAACTTTGTGAGTTCTAGGCCAGCCTGGCATACGTAGAGAGTTAGTTATCTGTTTCAGAATAAAAGGTCTAATCAGTCATTTGAAAAATGTCACATATTCCCATTCCTGGAGGCTTGTATGACACCTGACAGCCTATAGCTCTCCGCATGCCAGCCACATTGGCAGTTGAAAACCAGAGACGATAGATGCCTGCCTGAGCCTCTGTGGCAGGACATTCATGCATACCATTTCTTACACCTATGGCAGATTTCTTCATGTAATTCTTTGTTAGTGGTTAATCTTCATTTAAACCCTGTGGTTTCTATTTGGAAATCTTCGTCCACTCCCATTTCTAGCGTTATTTATCTTTATATGTAGATTGTACATATCTCTAGTCTGGTTTATCTTATCTGTTCTTTCTGATATTTACTCATTTGTTATTTTGATTTTTGTTTGTGCTGTGCTGGTGACCAAACCTTGGGCTCTGTGCATTCTAGGCCAGTGCACTATATATTGGAACTCTTTGCCAGGTCCTTGTTCATTTAGAATAACTGTCCAATTAAATGTTTAGATGTATCTTACTTTTGCATTTTTATCTTAGTTGCTCACATTATTTCTCTCCCTTGGCTTTTTGGCTGTGTACTGTTGTGCTCAAGGCCTTGATCCTTGATCCTTGATCCTTGCACAGAGTTCATTCTGATCCTCTATTTTTTTTTTACTTGGCCCCTTTTCAACTTCCCAATCACACAGGCACCTGAGCAGAAATATCAGGAATCAGGTCAAGCAGACACAGGATCACAGCAACTATGGCTTCAGAATTCATGGCAAATTTAAAGGAGGAGGTGACCTGTCCCATCTGTCTGGACCTGATGGTGGAACCCGTGAGTGCAGATTGTGGTCACTGCTTCTGCCGAGCCTGCATCACGCTGAACTATGAGTCCAGCAAAAGCAAAGAGGAAGAGTTCATCTGTCCTGTGTGCCGAGTTAGTTACCTGTTTGGGAATCTGAGGCCTAATCGACATGTGGCCAACATAGT